GAGTCAAAATATGATATCCTTAACATATATCCATTCATCTTGTCCCAACTCTAGTTAATCCTATTGTGTCGTCTTTGAAAAACAGCTCCCGTGTCCATTTCCTTTTACATTAGCGAGCTGAAGCTGCTCTCTGCTTCCTGACTGCACAATTATCTTATTGCTGAGTAGTTGTTGCCTGTAATGTGCACAAAGGGTTAAGCCCAGTCTCTGTCAGTCAGCTGCACCATGCCAGCTGTTGACTTGGAGATCCAATCACAATGATTTTCCACTGTTGTCACATGTGACCTGGTCCGCAACTCGAAACTGAAGCCGCACTCCAAGTCTTGGCACATCCTTTGAGTTGGCACTGGAGCTGCTCGTGGGGTTAGCTGCTATCATGCGCCCCCAAACAATTAGGACCAGAGGACAAGGACTTCCAGGGGACAACAGACTTTATTTAACTTCTTCAAATGCAGATCAACATGTTTGTGCCTTGTCTCTTTTTAATATAACTGACTTAAGTAGGTAAGATTCATGTTTTTAAAATATTTTTAAAAAGCCACCTCTCTGACCAACTGAAATCAAAAGCTGCATTCAAGCAACTACACCAACATTTGGCTAAACAAATGTTTAAAAAATAAGTTATCAGCAAATAAGTTATTCAAGCATTTGCAGCTATCAATTATTTAAATAGTTACAGCAATAATAAACAAATTGATTCATTAATTTGATTAATCATGTCATTTTAACAAACTTAAAGGTATCTCAAACAGAGCTGTAATCACTGCAGAATGGTTCAAAAAGTATTTCTAATCCATTTTATAACGGCTCGTCTTCATGAAAAATGTAGCTGTCTAAACGAATTGATAAATCAAGAGAAAAAATCACTCTACGACTGTAATCAAATATCAAAATTATCTGTAATTCCAGCCAAATGTATTGTTAATTCAATCAAACACTTTGGAATGATGCAATGCCATTGAAAATTCAGAATAGTAATAATTGTAATATTGGCTGCTTTGCCAAATTGAGTTAGTTGGAATAGCTCAAAGAATTCTGCAGCCTAAAAGTCCATTGTGGCACATTCATCACATTAATGTTCTTGTGAACAATTAGCACCGCTTGCGAAGTCATAATATCACTCAACTGTTGTGCTATCAATAACACCTATTTTGAAAAGACTTGTTCAGCAGTCGCCGGGTCACACAATTTGTGCAAAACTCGAATAAAGCAACTGTTAAACATTTGTCTCAAATACCGTTAAGAAAGTTTGGAAGGATTTAAATGTATGCCATGCAGAGATGCTCAAAAGTCTGTGGCTCGCAAGTCCAAGTCAAAGTATTAAAGTTGTATAAAGATTCAAATTTTGGTACAGTACAACTTGAAAACTAATATAGATGGATAGATATCTCTTTGGGCTGCAACTAATGATTATTTTTGCGTTTTTGCCCAACACAGGAAAGTACAGCAGCAGTACAGCAGACTAAACTCATGCAGCTGATATTGAGTGAAAGTGCGTCCATGCCTCCATCTACGCACGTACATACATTGCCTGAACACAGCTGTACAAGAATGCGCCCAACTCACGTGAGCTCCACCACATAGTGGGTGACGTATTAAGTTACGCGATACAAAAAATCAATAATGAAATTTGCTGTCAACACCTTTTTAAGAATGGATTTTTATCGATTTTATTGATTAGTTTTTTTTTTTTAATTATAGATTTATTTCTTCATAATTGTCGCCGAATTTTTCTGTTTGTTTTTTCTTTTGGCAGCAGAGGTGTAGTGAGACAAAGCCTGGTGAACATGAATGGGCGCGTGTGTGATTAACTGATTTGGCCTGAATGGACTGCAGCTTCTTGTTAGAAAGGACTCCATGGAGCGCCTGATGCCACAGATAGTCTTAATTAGATTTAACATACAGCTTTCCCTCAACTAATCACTCATCAGATCCCATCCCAGTTATGGTCCCCAGCACTGGACTGGACAACTGTGTACGCAGCCCATTTCTGCTGACTGGTGGAGTTTTTGTTGTTGTTGAGTGTAACAACGTGGCACTGCCGCGTTTTAACCCTGGATCATTGAAGGCCCATTTTGAAGCAGTATTTACTACGGTCAGATATTTCCACTCGGCAAAATGCAAATCAGCGAACACTGTGTGCTTAGTACAACAGGAAGAATGGGCTGCATTTACAGTTGTGAGCTATATTAAAATATCTTTTGGGCTACTAGCACATTTAAAAGATTCAATAGTAGATGAATGTTTTAAGGCTCTGATTCACTTTTTTTTTTGTTAATTTGTTATTTGGGGCAATTATTCTTTAAATGTTATCAATTAGTAGTTTAAATCCATTAATGGGATTATTTTTATGAATTTGATCACACCAAAGACTAGATGTAACATTTATTTTTGTTAGAGATACTTGCCGATGTTATTCTGAAGTATCCGTCTGTGCCCTAAAACCTATTCTTTGCATGTTTTGTTCCAGGTGTGGTTTAAAACCGTTAACTAATTTAGTTAGTTAACAAGTTAATAATTTCAATAATTTACTATTATATTATTGGGGGCGACAGTCGCTCAGTTGGTAGATCATTTGCTCACCACAAGACCTTCTCTGACTCCCACTGATGTCTGCTGTCGTAGGGTAAGACACTTAACCCCACGTTGCCTGAAGCCCCGCTGAAAGATCAATCTCTGTGGACTCCTCACTTGCAGGAGGATCAGTGCTCTGTGAATTGGGTGGCGGCTGGTTACCACCCCCCTGACGCAGAAATGGATTAAGGGGTATGAGTACACGGGGGTACTCATACCCCCTTGTACTCATGAGTACAAGGGGGTATGAGTACAAGGGGTACTTGTACTCATACCTTTGGTGCTGGAACCTATACCCACATTTGTAATTTACATTAAAAATGTGGGTATAAGTTACACACGACAGCAGACAGCTGTGCGTCTCGTATTGCTGTGTTGATCTCCCAAAGACTGGAGCTAGAAAGCAAGCTAGAAATCAGGCTAGAAAGCAAGCTTGCTGCAAGCTTACCGGTACACAAGCTAGAGGCAAGCGGACAACCGTATGACGAGTAAAGCGGACTGTATGTTGCATAAGGCAAAACTGTCACGAGGTGGGTCCAAAACAAACAGTGTTTGGAATACGACAAATTTAGTTTAAGTAACTTGAGCAGGATTGTGGTATATGAGAAGGACATGGCATTCCTTATGGAGTTCCCACACACACAAGAACTGTCAGTACTGTTGGTATGTTTAGCATCTTTCTGCTTTTCCGGTATAGCCCTTTCCATTCAGAATAGATCATAGATAGCAAACACTCCAATGGGGTCTGTATTTCCAGCGTGTCGGCTGCATTTGATCGTTTTTACCCTGTGCATCACTTCCCCTCTGGGCTTCACTAGCTTTTGTTACTTAAATATGTTCCTGGTATCTTATCTTTGCAAAAAAGCATGTCCGGTATTCATCAATGCAGTTTCATGGTTTCAGGCAGATTCAGTTTGTGTAATCACTGCAATATCTAACGTCATTTTGGAGTGTTATATATTCTTCAGTATTGTAAAATTGTTAGAACATTGAGATTGTATATGGTTCATCATTAGACGGTATATATTTTTTTCCTTGATTTTGATGGATTTTAAAACTAGTAAGTCAGCTGATAAGTCGCAAATAATGTATTTTGGCAGTCAACTAACCTAGTGATTGGAATCATAAAGAATCTGTGACAAAGCCTTTATCACATGAAAATTGTATTTTTCTATTTAACCTTTATTTGGCTAGGAAAGTCCCATTGAGATTAAGAACCTCTTTTTCAAGGGAGTCCTGGACAAAAGTCACATTTAGTTAAAACAGTCGAGAACAATTTCATAGAATTACGGATTAAAATGAACTGAGAATGTGAAAATGTGTGTATGTGATGTAAATGGGGACACCAAGATGTCCCAAAGTATCTTAACGGTTGCATTGTCAAATCCAACCTTTCTATTCTGGTTTTTCTGAGATTTTATTTTGACTAGAATTTCCACGGAAAGGCATAAACCATCCACAGATTTGACCAGGATTATTCATGCTTTGTTCCACACGCAGATACGCATTTGAGGTTTCTGTCAATCATGTTGGGCAATCCACTCCAATGTGTGTGGAGCAGTGGGGAGGACGGCATTAAACACAAGCAGAAACATTTTTTATTTTTTTTAAGTGACACAATCAAGTTAAAAAACAAACTATTCTCTCTCCTCCTTCCTTGTCTCTTTTCCAAAAAATACAATCTGAAAACTGCCGCAAATGTGTCCTTATTGGATAATTTCTTGTCCATTCTTTGCCTTTTGATCAGTTTTCTGACTGAACCCTGATGTCGGGCCAGTTGGAAGCCAATATTTGAATGCTTTAAAACAACATAATATTGAGTTTATATGACTGCTAGTTAGGATATCAGCAGGTTCAGTCTAGGATAAGTTTTGCAGTTCATGTTTTGCTTTTCCCTATCCAACTTTTAAAGCATAAATTGCAAACCTAGCCGCAAAATTGCAATTAGATATTTTTTCAAAACGGTTAATCTCGACCATATTTGAAGATCTCTGTAAAGCGCATTAATTAAACCACCACACATGGGTTTGGGATGGGTTTTAGTTTATGATAGGAAAAGACTATTTGAGCTGTTACTCATTGCACAAAGTTTGTCCTTGTACTTACGCAGTGCCTATCTCTCTGTCTCTTGCAGATCGCGTGCTGTGACCTCTGGCTCAGTGGGAGGGTCTCGGTCACCATGTCAGACTAAGGGCGCTCACATCACTGCTGGACATGGCTTTTTTTGTACTACTCTCCCCCCACTACCTGCCACATGAGTCCTCCAGTCTTTGAGGGGCCACATCAGCTGTTTATGGAAACTGCAAACGACTTCCCACGTTTGAGGATTTAATCCAGGATAAGCGAGCACCACACCCCTTCCCTCCGCCCGCTGGAAATTGGTACTTTGCAATACGGAGGTAGAAATTAAAAAGGGGGAAAAAACAATGGCAAACAACTCATACAGCGGAGTTAAGAACTCCCTGGTGGAGGCCAATCACGATGGGGAGTTTGGCTGTTCGCTAAAAGAACTGCGCGCCTTGATGGAGCTGAGGGGTGCAGAGGCGCTGGGCAAAATCGGGGAAACTTACGGAGACACACATGGACTCTGCAATCGGTTAAAAACATCACCTGTGGACGGTACGGCACCACGCAAACACACTTATACTCAAACCAAAAAGGCCAAGAAGGAGTAATTGTATATTTCAAACTTGTGCACCAGAAGACAAAACCCCTCTCACTCAAAACACACATTCATACACTCAGACAAGACACTCTCTGACCTTATATATCTCACTTTTTTGCTGTTTGTTTCCGTATCTGGAGAGCGTACTCTGACCACTAGCACTGTGGTTTTATCTGTCTGCACAACTATTGCTAATTAAATTAAAGCAAATTTGTCTAACACGCTCTCACACTCACAAGTATAGTGGATGTTTAGTTGGCGGCAGTTTTTTTGCCTTAGAATCTGCTTGTATGGGGCCTAAAGCACACATGTTAGCATCCAAATTATAATGCAATTTTACACACTTGCTCCGTATCACTAGTTACCGCTCTTTGTTGTAATCTCTAACCTAAATCCAGTGTTGACTTACCGGTATCTTATGGAGTAAATTTGTTTTGGTGCTGTAGTCAGGGCTGGCCTTGCAGCTTAGTTTTGCTTAGCTCCATGGCTACTGCTATGGAGTGACCGGGACCATGGAACCACAAGGTTTTGTACATTAGGCAACAAAGATTTTCTAGATGCCGCAAATATTATTTGAGCAGTCCTGCAAGTGTTCCAATCTATTTGTATTTTTTATGCATGCCAAATGTCATTATTCAAAAAAAAATGTTTTCATGATGCATTTTGTTTTTCTCAAACAAAATGCAACATCAAAAATGAAATGTTGCAAACAACTCGGACCACAACACGCTTGTTGTGCAAGGATTATCAAAGGATATGACATAGGCCACAAATGCATGCATGTGAAAATTGGTGTTAGAACCGAATAGGGGTCTCGCGTTATGAAAATTTAACCACACGGTTATTGTGCTGTATTTTTTTTTTTTTACGTTCTGTGAATATGATCAGAAAGCATTGATAGTCCTACTGAAGTAGTTTTAAAAAATGAACAAATGTTAACTGCAAGTAACATTTGGTTGATAACATTGGTTGATAACAATGCAGCTAATGCTAGATGCAGCTAGGCTGCGGCTGCGTTAACACTTTTGACAGACTAATAACCGGACGAATCGTTACATTCTCTTTCAATCCAAAGTCCCCCCATCTATTTCAGCTAAAATGTTAACATTATCTTGCCTAGCATTGGCTATTGTATTGTATGTACTTTATTTGAACAGGGACAGTGTACAGTTAAGCATTAACACAAAAGGAGAGATGCATGTACCAGGTTATAGCAGAGATGTAGTCCCTGGGCAGGCTATAGAGTTGAGATGAAACATCACGAAACATTTTTCCTGCACATTTGGCACTGTTGGCCCTGAATTAGCTTTGAGAGATGACTGAAATGTGTTGTAAATTGTTGGATGTTAAATGATACCTTTTTTTTTTTTTATTTAACCTTTATTTAACCAGGAGAACCTCCATTGAGATTAATCTCTTTTTCAAGAGTGTGCTGGACAGAGAGAGAGACAACGAGTCAAGTTAGGTTTCTTCAAGCTTAATTCAGCTGGGGGCCACTCAAGGCAGCATTAAGGGGTATATTTATCACAAATATTTTGAATACGAGTTTAGATATATTTTCTATATATTTCTATATTGCTCAAAATGAGTACTGCAGCTTGGATTGAAACCAAACTGAACTGGACTAAATGCAATGAGGCTTTGTATTGTCAACTGAATAAAGTTTACTTTAATTGTACGTTTAATTTTAACATTAAATGTTTAGGGTTCAATGTCATGTCATGTCATTTACTTCCCCTTTTATTAATCCATTTCTGGGTCGGGGGTAGCAATCAGCTGCCACCCAAGTCTCTTCGTTGACCCTCCTGCAGGTTGTGGGTGCAAAGGATAATGGCTTCTCCGCCATTGAAGACATGGCCTTGGTCTTTCAGCGGGGACTTCAGGCAATGTGGGGTAAAGTGTCTTGCCCAGGAAAATCCCATTGTCTGATTTTTTTTTTTTTTTTTTAGGTTTTTTTTCAAATTATGGTGGAAAATTAAGTATTTGGTCACCTACAAACGGGCAAGATTTCTGGCTCTCACAGACCTGTAACTCCTTTAAGTGGCTACTCTTTCCTTCACTTGTTACCTATATTAATGGCACCTCTTTGAACTTGTTATCAGTAGGGATGTAACGATATCATAATCTCACGATACGATACGATTTTGTTATTGAGCTCACGGTACGATATTTATTGCGATATTGTGGAGAGGCTCACGGTATTGTAAAATAGCTCACAATATTGAGTTTATGATGATGATAATAAAAAACTGACATTTAAACTGCAACTTTTGCCAGTCAGGGCATTTATTGTTATATTCATGCAGCATCACTTAATGCTTTTAAAGTGCAACCTCAAGTCATTAACATCAATATACCGTTGAGCTGTAGAACTGTAAACAAAAAACAAAAGGGAATTCCCTTCAAGTGCAAACAAAGCTCAAGTCTGGTTCAAATGCAAATAATAAACAATAATCAGGCAAAAGGCCAACTGAAAAAACATGGGTAACCTAAGAGCTTATGTTGAGGTTCTTCTTCAGAAAGATCAAAAGATCTACATTGCTTGGGAGAAGAAGAGCCCTTTGTGCATTTACAATATCCCCTGCAGTGGAAAACTCTCACTAGGTACTGAGGTAGCAGGTATGCATAGGTAGGTTTTCGCTAATGAAGAAAGAGTGGGATATTGCCCTGCATGGTCTCTCCACCACTTAAGAGGACAAGCAGATAGAGAAACGATTGTTTCTTTCAAGAAAGAGTCCATCTCTCTCTGGATTCCACCTGTCTGGAGTTCACCTTTACTGCTGAAGGAACTCCCAAGGAGGTCCTCAAGGGCATGCTTCTTAGGAGGAGGCACGAGGCTCTCACTGCTGTCCAGATCTGCTGGGTGTGGACTCTGTGGCAGCACATCTTGGCCCTGGTTCTTAAATGATAAAGAGACATTATATTAGTATTTTGTTACATTTTATTACATTTCTCTAAAGCACAGCATTAAAAATATTCACCTGTTGTTGTTGCATCTGTGATGCTTTCAACTTTATTCGTTCGAAGACGTCTTCCCTCACTCTGCTGCTTAGATGTTGCAAGGTGCGAAAGCGTGGATCCAAGGCACTGCTCTCCTGCAAGAACTTTTCATCCTCTCCTTGGTATCGGTCAGAGAGATCCTTCAGTTTGGCTGTCTTCATCTGAGCAATGGCATTTGAGTTGTGGTTATCTGTGGCCATGCTGTCTTGAATCATTTGTTTTAGTGGTGAAATGAGAGATATTGTCGGTTGCGACTCATCACAGAGCACAGTTGTGGCTTTTTTATTGGCAAAAGAAGCTTGACAAGGTCCTCAGCATTTGCAATGTCAGATGTGTCCAAAGTGTCTATTTCACGTGACTTTTGTCTCAGTTCATCACTCAGAAGGGCTGCAGCCACAGCTTGTTGTTGTCCTAGGTCAGGGGTCGGCAACTCAAAAAGTTCAAAGAGCCATATTTGACCAGAAATACAAAAAACAAATCTGTCTGGAGCCGCATAAACGTAACTGCCTTGTATAAGCAACACAGGCTGTGGGCTGTATTAGCCTACTATCAAAATGAGTAAGTATAGGCTACAAATAAATAATATGTATTCATGATTATCATATGTATTTTCACTGTAGTGCAAGAGAATGACGCACCATGTGACTACTCTGCTATACGATATATGCTTTAAGTTTAACTTTCCTTTTGTTGCATTCATGCAATTGCAGAAATACAGTAAATAAATCAGTTTTTGGCTCAGAGTTCACATACCTGCATTACAGCACTGTCTGTTTACATCGATCACGTCACACGTCGTCACGGCTGGAGTTCGCTGGAGCTGAATGTCCCGAACGGTGTTTCGCACTTCTTTGTTCCTCGTGTTGCAACAAAATTCAGCAGAAGTTTGGAGATGAATCCGCTCCAGAATAACTGCGATCGCACTGTTTCTCTCCAAACTGGGGTCAGCAGCCAATTTTCCACATGACTCTTTTTGTTCTTCGATATATTCTCACAAAGCAAAAAGGAAGCAGTCCTTCCTCATTGACAATGAAAGCAAATGTTCCAGTCCATTCTTCCCTGAATTCTCTGTTCTTATCAACTCTTTCTCAATATAGCTTTGGGATTCATGTGGCACATGCCTACATCCATGGGCACATGCCGGTTTGTTTACAACAGCGGCCGCCCGGCGCGGGACCGCGTAACCACGCGTTGCAGGATATGACGCAAATCTCAGTTGACAGAAATGTTAAAATTGAATATTTCTCATGCACATTTTTACTACATTGGAAAAGGTTAAGAATGTTGTCCCTCCTACAGAAACCACATTGAAACTAGAAATAAAACATACCCCTCCCACTCCATTTTCAGACATTTTTGAAAAGGCTCCAGGAGCCACTCGAGGGGCACTAAAGAGCTGCATGCGGGTCCGGAGCCGCGGGTTGCCGACCCCTGTTCTAGGTAACGCTCAACCATATCCAGTGAGCTATTCCATCTAGTCGCTACATCAATGATCAATTTGTGCACAGGGAGATTGTAGTTTTTGTTTGCTGGTCAGCACGGCTGTGGCTGTAGGACTGCGATGAAAAAAACTTGCCACACGCCTGACTCTACCGAGGAGACGGTTCACAGCGTTTACCTTTAAACCTGCTTGGGAGGCCAAGTTTAATATGTGCGCGAATTATCTTATGTGAGGAGACAGCACGGCTTCGTTTACTGCTACTCGCATGTTGCTTGCGTTGTCAGTAACTACAGCGATCGTTGTGCTAATCTTGTCCAGCCTCCACTTGTCTTTGACTGCAGATTTGAGCACTTCGGCTATGTTTGCGCCAAACAAGGCCGCTTAGCGGCCTTGTTTGTAAAACAAAACTCTTCATCTCCCATTCATTTCATTATAACATGCGCCGTAATAGTAATGTAACTCTGGGTCGCTCGTGAGGTTCATCCATCAGTGGTAATAGCGATGCTCTCTGAC